AATGCTCAGAAAAAAAAAAAAAAATCCTTTCAAAAGGGATGCACCTGGCCACCAAGAGCTCTGATGAAGATGTACAAAGACACAAACATTGTTTTCATGCCTGCTAACACAACTGCAGCCCACGGGTGAAGGAGTAATTTCAAATTCCAAGTCTTACTATTCTTTAAAAAATACATTTTGTTAAGGCAAAAGCTGCCGAAGATAATTGATTCCTCTGACAGATCTGAACAAAGCAAACTGAAAACCATCCAAAGAGGATTCACCACTCTAAATACCATTAAAAACATTCCTGATTAATGGAAGATCAAAATAGCAACATTATAGTAACTTGGAAGAAGTTTATCCCAACCCTCGTGGGTGACTTAGATGGGTTCAAGATTTCAATAGAGGACCCTGAAGATATGCCTGAACTGCAGCAATCTCATAACAATACCTGAACAGACGAGGTATTGCTTCTTATGCATGAGTGGTTTTTTGAGACGGAATCTATTCCTGGTGAAGATGCTGTGAACACTGCTGCAAATAACAAAAAAAAGTCAGGTGATAAAGCAACAAAAGGGCTTGAGAGGACTGACTCCAACTGTGAAAGTTCTACTGTGTATAAAATGCTATTAAACAGAATCTTGTATGACAGAGAAACTTATCATGGAAGAGTCAATAAATGCAACAAACTTCATTGTCTTATTTTAGCAAATTGGTTTGGTTCAGTGGTCATGCCTGTAATCCCAGCTACTTGGGAAGGTCAGAGAATCCCAGCTGAGGTCAGAGAATCACTTGAAGCCAGGAGTTTGAGACCAGCCTGGGCAACACAGCAAGACCCAATCTCTCTAAAATAATGAAAAACAAAATTAGCCAAGTATGATGGCACAAACCTCTAATCCAGCTACTTGGGAGGCCAAGGCTGGAGTGAGTTATGATTGTGCCACTGCCCAGCCTGGGTGACAGAGCAAGATGCTGTCTTAAAAAAAATCAAAGAATCAGTCAGATAAGATGGTTCACACCTGATTCTCAGCACTTTGGGAAGCCAAAGTGGGAGAACTGCTTGAGGCCAGGAGTTCAAGACACCAGTGTGAAGAATATAGCAAGACCCTGTCTCTGTCTTTTCTCTAACAGAAAAATTAGCCAAGAGGCTAAGGCAGGAGGCTTTCTTGAATGCAAGAGGACTACAATGACAATACCACTCTTCAACCAGGACAACAGAGACCTGTTCTTAAAAAAAAGAAGAGAGAGAGAGAGAAAGAAGAGAGGAGAGAAGAGGGTAAAAAAAACGGGAGGGGAAAAGGAGGGAGGAGAACAATGAAATTACTACAGCCAACCCAACCTTCAAAGAAAGGAGAGAAGGGGAGGGAAAGAAAAAGAAAAAGCAAAACAGAACAAAAATGAAATTGCCATAGCCAACCCAACCTTCACCCATTACCACCACCACCACCATTACCCTGGTTCATCAATAGTCATCAAGTTTGAAATAAGGCTCATCACCAGCAAAAAGATTAGGACTTTGCTGAAGGCTCAGGAAACATATGCACTGGAAACTGAGAACTTGTGTTGCCTGCTTTATTGTGATATTCCCTTTAGGGCAGTACTCTGGAACTAAACACAAATTTCTGAGGTAGGCCTCTAAATATGATTTCAATGGAAAAACACAGAGTAAACTAACTATTAAAAAAACTGGGCTTGGCTCGGCGCCTCTGGCTCGGGCGGCTGGGGCGCCAGCCACATACACCTAAGGTGGCGGGTTCGAATCCCCAGCCCGGGCCCGCCAAACAACAATGATGGCTGCAACCAAAAAATGGCC